GGATGCGCGTTTCTCTTCGCGAGTCGTTCCGTAGCTCGTCTTGAAACGTGCGCCCTACTTTTTGCTGAAACTCCTCTCCTGCCGTTTTTATTTGCCCAAGGTAACGACGGGTTACTTTAACCCTTTGACAGACGGGTGTTAAAACCACAGAGTTTTAAAAATACGACGTGCGCGCGGAGAACCCGTTACTGCCAATAGCCGTTTGTAATTCGAGAGAGCGCCGTTCGCGTTCGCAAATTAAACAAACGTTGTCCGTTCTCTGTTTAAATTGCGAGCCACAATTGACGAGTTTTGGAAATTACACGTTCACGTGTTCGTATAGTTTTTACACGAGTTACGTATGTTTTCTTTTTTTTATGATATAATTACAAGAGTACGCCGTTCTCTTGAATTGCACAAAGAATTCCCGACGCGAAATTTACAGTCGCGACGAAAATTGCGTGCCAGAAGATATATCATCGGCGTATCCGCGAATACGAGTGTAAATTATTCCAACATCGGCAAATCCCTCTCCAGATATGTAACGTTCTAATCGACTAGTGGATTTATAACATATATATATCGCATAAACGGGTAGATACGTGTTCGAATTAACTGCTTGCTAATTTATATCCTTACGTACATGTATTATCACGTTAATTTATCTATCTCGTTCTGCAAAACGTGCGCATATCCCTCCCCTCCCTTCTATCTGTAATTTACCAGCATTTATCGTCTTGCAGTTAACACATTTGCAGTTAATATATATTTAGCGTAAAGATTATCTTCGACATTCTCGTTATAAAAATAATGCACGGTTGATACGGAAAAAGATATTCGATATTGTTAAAATATTACATGCGTAAAACGCACCCATCTTTCTATCCTCCGCGTAAATACGCGTCACGCTTTGCGAGAAACTGCCCCCTACGTGTTGGTGTTCCGTTGAAAATATTTAAATCAATTGAATTTGTTTTCATAGTATTAATAATGAATAATAATGTATATTTGTGGAAGAATAGATGAAGGAGTCGCGCTAAATACTTAAGAGAATGTTTAATCGATAGATATAAATTTCGTATATTTCCTAAAAATGCTCGTTTTAGCACAGGAATACTTCTGTCGATATAAGAAACACATACAAGGACGAGGATATAATTTTTGTAGTGTATGTAGGCGTGCAAAAAATGCGCGTTTATCCATTCAAAATGTGACACGGATAAGCCGGCGTAGGCAAAAATAATACGCGTGAAGATGCGTGAGAAGCACGATTTTACACGCAAAAGTGTGTAAAATTGTACACTCTGGATCCGCAGTGGCGATGTCGCGGCTTTCTCGGCAAATAATGGATGAGCTGGAAACATAATAGCGTCATCACTCTTTTGTAGATTATTCATACTTTGCATTGTGATTCCGAAGGCGCGCACAAAGCTCGGACGGCTTGCGTTCGCGAGAGCGCGAACAAAGCTCAATGAATTTCTGCGCTACCTGCATTACGGAATGAATCAAGTTGGCGGCGTAAACACAAAAAAAAGTTAGCCGGCCCCGCGGAAGTGTTCGCGGTTCTTTCGCGAAATACAGCGGATATGCGCTATTATCCTTTGTCTGACGCGAACGTCGCTCGCTCCAGCTGCAACTCGGCCTGGCGATAACGTGGACTTGTTTGTGAGACAACAGGATGTTCGCGAACGAGGAAACGTCTCGTTTGAATTAGAGACCGCACGGCATGAACTCGCGCTTCAAATCGTCCCGAGGGAGGAAACGTGAGCGGCGCATGAATATCTTGGATTCCACGCATTCGAACTCGCGTTCCGAATGGCGCATAAAATAAAAGGCTCTCACGCTTTAAGAATGTATTGTCCACTAGTGCCGTATTTTCAATGGTACGTCATGGGAGCCGGTCGTAAATTCAGTGGAATAATTTCCGATCCAGGCTCTGAATTACCGTGACATTTACCGGTGTCACAGTAATTTCTCCGTGATATCTCCATTATTTTGAATTATGGACAATACATCCTTAACGTGAGATGTCGTGGCAATTGCGAGAGTTGGGAATCGCGTGAATCCATCGGGAATTAAATAAATAACGGAGGCTGTTGCGCGAGACTATTTGATTGTACCGTTGAAAAATGTCTCATTCCGTGATCGAGTGATTTCGATCGTTCGTTTTTAAGCAAGCGTAAATAGAATTTGTTTGCCGAAGCGAGGGAGTCACGTAAACTCGTTGCGGGGCTCGAGTGACGGTGAAATTGATACGCGAAACGAAATAATGCCGTAACGTACGGGACGAATTGGACAAGGGAAGGGGAAAGGGGAATTGCACGATCCGACTTCCTATCTCTCAACTTTCTGCATAGAGTATACCTTTTGTTAACGCAAACGACGCGAGGGTGCTTCAAGCCCAACCGACCAACCCCATATAATCCTCCCCATATTGTATTCCGGACGGCTTGAAGTTAAATGAAGCTGTACAGAGACCCTACAAATGCGGAAACCGCTATGACCTCTGGTCAATTTTTAAAAAAGGACCAAATTGTTAAGTTCCCCCGGCTGTGATGGAGGAGATGTCAGTCGCCTAAATAACCTATTAGCGAAGTATCGTAATTGGAATTATTGTTTCATCGGGACGCGCGCAGCATCACATTAACAAACGTCAAACGTGATCCGTTTTAAATAACGCATTGCGATAATGTTACGAGAGCTCGGGGGAACGAATTTCCGTCGCAATATTATCGAATTATCGAATTATCTCGCGGACATATAAAACTAATTATCATATACAACGAACACGTATCTCATGGTCGCGTGATATCCGGTGAAATATTCTTGCTCGAAAAAATACGAAATAGGATTATTCATTATCGGATAGTTTCAGGAGGATCTCAGCGCACAAAGCGCGAGAGAATCCTTTTCGGATATTCTCGCCGTGTACGAGCGCTCGATACGTTCGATGCCCGAATTCTCGGTTTTATCGCGGTATCCTATCGCATCTAGTTACTCCCCTGCATTTGTAATGATCGTCCCGAATGTCCACCGGGAAGTTCCGGGGGTACCGTGCTCGGCAAGTCCTACTCCCCGGGGAAAGCACTTCGCTGCTTCCCTCGTTCGGTTTCGCATTCATTCCCACCGTGTCCGCACGTGCGGCTTATGGCATCGCAAGAATGTTTTCTCTGTCCGCTTCCTTGAGTAACTAATGTCGCTGGATTCGTTCGCTGGCTTTGCAGATGAACTGCACCGAAAATAAGCGCGGGCCTAAGGCCGACGGTGAGAAGAAGGTAGCCAGAGAAAAAAAGGAGAAAAAGAGCGTCGCTTCTCTCTCTCTCTCTCTCTCTCCTCCCCTTTTTCTCTCGCTCTTTCCGGGGTCAATACGAGAAGTGGCGACACTTGAGGGGTCAGGAAGAGCAAAGAGCCGGTTCGCCCTCCATCCTATAAAGCTCTCGTCTCGTTTGTCCACCTCGGGCGGCGGGTGACCCAGTTCTGCCGGAACGTAGCCGCTCTCTAACGACGACGCGCTCGGAAGGCCCCGAGGGTGCGCAAATTCGGCCCGACAAATTCGCCTGATCTCCGACGATCTCCGACCGTCCCGTCATCGGCCTCGAGCTTTTGCGCTCTTCACGCGATCTCATGACGGTAACGCGCGTTCACCGCGCACAGCGAGAACCGACGCTCGTAAAGAGAGCCGTAACTCCGCCGACGTACCCGCCGACGACGCCGTGCCCGTGATCGATAGCGTATCTCTGGAATATTGAAAGCGTTATCGACAGCGGCTGGCGGCCGTAGCGAGATAGGCGAGACTATTAGCCTCTGCCGTTGGAAATTTATAGACCGCTCGTTTGCTGTACGTAGCGTCGCTACGTGCTGGATTTATTAAGCGTCGGAGGTGGTGGTGATTTTTTCGAACCCCCTCCCCCTTCTCGACGCGACACCTCGACTCCGATGTGCGAGAGCGTGACGAGCACGCGCGTGAAAAATATCGCGTGTTTCGGAGACCAGGGCAAGTTCGGTAACTTCTTCGAGTTTCAGTGTAAAACTCTTCAGGAAAGTAATCGTAATTGACTAGTGTGTAAAATAACGATAACAGAGACCTTCCTTCGAGTTCTCATGTTGCCTAAGATCCTGTAATCTGGTTTAGTTTCGTCTTCTATGTAATAACCAAATGCCGACATGGAGCATTTGTGCGAAATTGCCTCGGCACCGGGGTAGATTCGGAAGCATCCCGGGGCTGGTTAGCGTTATATGTAATAAATATGATTGTACACGTTGACAAATGCATAGACGTTTAAAGTTATTTAGTAACAAATGAAAAGTTATTTATAACATGTTTTTGACGGTCAGAATATAGTGAATTCTGTTCTTTCAATGAAATAAAAAAATGAGAGGAAGGAACAATTCGCAGCTTCGTTTCCGGTGGCTTTTGTTTTCGGCTTAATTTTGACGTTGCGATATTGAAAGTATCTCGAAGGTACTCTCCCGCGAAATCGAGATTTCCTTCCGGGAGGGAATTGCTTAGGAAGGAGAATCGGGCGGATTAAAAAGTTAGTGGCGAATTAAGCCGCCCCGGCGGGGAGGGGGGTAAATAAGTGGCGAAACTTTGTTTTTGATTAGTCAAACGGGCTTTAATGCCGTGGAACTTGTTAAGAATAAACAGGTCGTTAAGGTTGGGTTAATCGACACGCGGCTTCCGATGCTTCGGTCGCTCGACCAACTATGCGCTACTCCCTCCCCCTGTTTCTTCGAGTGTGTGTATGTGTATTCGGATTCTTTTATATACATATATATTATTTATAAATATATCTTTCTACGCGTTCCAAGCTCCGATGAATGCTTGAATTATGGCATTGGAAAGTGGCTCGCTCCGACACGCACGTCCCCGAGATAGGTCTCGGGAATATAGATTTTCATTGAACGGCCGTCGCACAAAAGATAGATTTCCAGGCGGTGGAGGAAATAAAAGTTTCGACATTGTTGTGCGGCCGCCGACGGCCGCGTCGTTGATACCCTCCTCGCTCCTTTTGTTGCAGGAATTCCTGCTGGCGATCGACGTTACGTCGAGCGGTACGCCGGAGGAGAAGCTGAAATGGGCGTTCCGTATGTACGACGTTGACGGTAACGGCGTTATCGATATGCAAGAAATGACGAAGATCGTTCAGGTACTGTAACTCATGAATAATGCACGTTGCTTCGATTTCTCCCCACTTACTTGCACTCGGCCGCGACACTCCTGATGGAATACGGCATTTTTTTTTATTAGTACTTGACGTCAGCACTCTCCTTTTTCTCCATATCGTACTCGACTAATCGGTGATTCGCTGATATAATATATTCATGTGCCGAACGAGCGCGATGAAACTCGTACTTTATCTCGTACGGATAAAATTTCGAGTTTCACTCCAAACCGCTGAGAAAATCTCTCGATAAGCGACCGAGTTATCGCGGGACGATTGCTTTTTCTTGATACTATTGCAGTTCACCCCACAGGCGGTTCTATTATCTGCACCGAACGCGACGTGCTTTAAAGCCGATACTCGCTATAAAATCAAAACACGGGTCGAACTATGGTCAAGTCGCGGTCACGGATTTTTCATCCCGCTCGCACTTTTCGATTATCTCACGGTCTTCTGTCGGTTTTGTCAACGCTATTCATCAATATCATTTTAAAATACTCCCCGAGCTTTTGTTATATTTTATTTGTTATATTATATCGCATAATTTTCTATAAAATGTGCGTGTTATGATATTTATAATACAAATAACGAAATACGTAACTTGTAGAAATTTTTTTCTTATTTCATTCTATCTTTAATTTGTACGAAGCATCCAAATAATTTTCAATGAGAAACAAATTCGGAATTTGCACAAATATACTCAATAAATGTACCGTCTATCTCAGATAAGGAAGATGAGTTCCCTTTCGCTCACGTAACTTTTTCTCCAGGACGAAAACATGAAAAATCAAAAGTGAATTATTAAACCAGAAAATTTACACTTTTCACGAATTCGGACTAGAGGAGAAGATTCATAATCAACACCCAAATGGTCATGAATCTTCTCTAGCGTGAACTCGTGAAAAATGTAAATGTTCTAACTTGAAAACATTTCACTTTTCACATTTCCGCTTCCGGAGAAAAGTTACATGATCGATACCGCTGATGACGGCCGATAGTATGAATTGAGCATTGCTCCGCTTGAAGAAAAGATTATCGTTACGACATACGATGAGAAGAAATTAATAAGACGCGTACGATAAAATCGCATCATAAATCTATGTCTCTCTCTCTCTCTCTCTCTCTCTCTGTATCTCTCTTATTTCCTCTCATCGTTCGCTGCGCGAGATCTTCGAGATCTCCCAGCTTTGACGAGATCGCGCAAATAATTCGATTTCCGCCGGTAAATCAACTGATTGGCATAATGGTTAATTAACACGCGATCGTAGCGTGAAAAACCATAAATCAACACTGTTTTTCGCTCCGTCTGCCCGTCCGTCCGTCCGGTATTCTCCTCCGGTATTCTTGCCGTCGCATCGAGCGGCGTACGCTCGAACGCCGGCGCGCTAATATTTCATGAATCCCCTTCGCGAGAACAGATGTCGACGTAGTCATGCGGCTATTCCACTTTGGCATCGTATATTTCTCGGAGCGGCAGAAGGGAAGCTCCGTTACACGGTGCAGCCGTCGTGTCTCATTTTTAAATAAGTAATTAGAGGTATCTCCTCCCCGCGCCACTCTGTGACCTAGTAGCCAGTAGCAGCAGCGACAGCATGCGGAACTACTGAGATAAATAGAATTTTCGAAAGACTTTGCATAATGAATTTCTGTAAAACTGCGGCCTCGCGTTTTGTCGTCCACGGATGGGCGTAACCGTACTGTAATATTTAAGACGGCTGCGCCGGTAGCTCGCGATTTTGCTATTCATAGCGCCGTTTGCCACAATTTTGCAGTAATGCAAGTAATGCAACTGCACTATCCCATGTTGAAATTTCAGCTCTGCATTAACCCCGTAAATTCCCGACGAACTTGAAGGGCCGATAGAGAAATCTCGAGGCGTAACACCACAGGCCGTATCGTCTTTTGATGCCGCAAATGGCTACTTATCGCTGTTTCGCTGAAGAGCTTATATTAAGAGTTTAAGAGTTATACAGAGTTATATTGTTTCGTTTAAAAAGAAATATGCTTAAATATATAAAAAATATCGCGTTTTAGAAAAAATATTTCGAACATAAGTTATAGGGTTTGGATAAATTGATGGTCTTAACTTCGTTGTATAATAATTTATAATTCTAGATCATTTCAAAGTCAACTTCATTCTTTTTTTAATAGAATCATTTAATTTTTTAATATAAGTCGATTTGTATTAAAAAAAGAACGATATGATTCTATTTAAAAAAGAAAATGAAGTTGACCTTAAAGTGACGCTGAATTATTGATTATACAAAGTTAATCATCAACTTATGTCCCCTTTCAAACCCTATGTATAACTTTGTTGAAAACGTAAAACGTTTTTCTAAGACGCGATGTTTTTGTAAATATATTTAAGCATACTTTTCAAAAGAGGGTACCTTGTATATGCATATATATTTCATTTTCTCTTATCTCGGTAATTTATCTGGACATTTAGTTTTTCTTCATTTTTCAACATATATCGCGTTAATTATATAAATTACTTAACTGCAGATTAACTTACTTAACTTAATTGCAGATAGAACGCGATAGAATTTTCATCGCGGCGTGAATCAGCGAGACGTTATTGTTCGCAGTATTCAAGATACGTTCCAAAAAGGTCGGGGACAGTTCAGTAATAAAATTTCGCGCGACTTCTCTTCGCGAAGAGACCGTTAGAATTATCGCGCAGGGTGAATCCCGAAAAAGTAAGAAGATTGGATCTCGCCGGAGGAAACTAATTACTGTCGTTGTGCGCGCGCGGCGAGCTTGCGTTAATAGCGAAACGTGTATTTATACGCAAGCGGATCGGATTCCGGGAAAGAAAGAAAGGAAAAAAAGCACAAAAAATCGCGATGAGGCGAACGACGACATCATGCTTCATAAAAGTAGCATTACGTCATGACCTCTGCTATCTCCTGCATTTCGCGGCGCAGTTCTCATCTCGATTGCTTTCTCGTGTCTGTTCTCGCGATGCGCGAAACATCACGTTTCTACATTAAAACTCTACCTTCTCGCCTTTTCTCGCGAGACTACAAGAGACAGGAATGCGCGCGCGGAAAAAGGTATCCTTAATTTTCTGCAGAATCTGTGCACACACAGACATCCGTAGAGGGATCTTTTCCGCCCGCCGTGACCGACGCTACTTTATCCCCTAAGTAACGAGCTCCGCCTTCGCTGGGGACATCATTTACGTGGACGCTCGTCTGAAATTCGAGTAACAAGAAAAATTGCCCCCGAGAACGTTAAAGAGCTGAAACGTTTTAATTATCGGCTGAAAAAGTTTCGCCCGGCGACGGAAGAGGTGTGGGAGACAACGGGAGAGGACTCTTTGTGTCTGCCCGGCCTGGCGGTACGTTATCGCGTGTTAAAAAGCTCATCGAGCCGTCTCTGTAAACTGGCTGGCCGCGTCCGTTCGGATATTCATCTCTCCACGCTATTAGAAGTTCGGAACTTCCGTGGCGGCGCGCGTTCGCGGGAAATTCCGTTAACTGGTGCTCCGCGCGCGCGAAAATTAACGACGCGATGTTCACAATGGAACTTCGCCGCCTCCGTATTTAACACTTAACCCGGCATCCCCACGCCGCTCGGTACACACGGGCTCGAACTCCCTCGACTTTACGGTCCCCATCGTTGAGGATCCGCCTGCAACATCGGTTCCTCTCGTGCGAAATTCGTTGTTGCCCGCATAGCACGCGCGGTTGCTGGAAATGCATTTGAGAGAACTTGAGAGAGAGAGAGAGAGAGAGAGATATGATTTATATGAAATAATGTATGTAGATATATTGTGCTCACACAGAGAAAAGGATCATTTCACTGCTGACAAGTAACACGAGGAAGTCTTGCCAGTACAGCAAATTGTTTGTCAATATACCGACAGCAGAAAGATTTGTTACACCGAAAAGATAATTTTGCAGCGGAATGTCGTTGTGCGACAGCTATAAAATTTAACCGGCATAATCACTATTTTACTGTCCGCGTAGTTCAACAAGCATCAATTGATAGTCTTAATACATTTTTCTGTTGTCCGAACAAAGTTATGAAACACATGAGACAAGTAACATTTACTCGAATGCAATATGTATTTTTCTGTGTGAATATATATAAATTATTTTTTACGCGAATGCAATTGAATATTTTTACTTCCACGTCCAAAAGTTCGTGAATATAAATGCAGTTATTTATCGGGTGATGATAATTTGATGATCACCGGGTGCGAGAAGGTAATTTTTTCATACGAGCGTAAAGCGGTAGCTCGTGATAATATATTAGCGATTTGAATGCATTAAACGTTTATCGCGTAACAGCGCGCGCACTTCTCATTACGTTTCTTTTCCACGGAGGTTTTTCCCAGGTGTGAAGCCCGAAGAGATTGATTTAACCTTTCAGACGTGAGTGTATACGCGGCAGATAACTAAGGAGGATGAATTTCATTTAAATAATCGTTTCCCACCGGTGCGCCGCCGGTATTCTATCGTAGCACGTTCGCGATAAATTAATCTGCTTTATCGCGCGCTAAGCTCTCTCTGTGTTGGGCGAGAAAATAATAAATTTGGCGCATTTATCTCTGCCCGGCGATTTACGGTGGGCTAAACGAAAAATGTACGAAAGAGATTATAAATAAAGAATCGCCGGTGCGCTTTGGCGAGTCGAAGTATCGGTCGCGCGATAAATTATATTTTTCGGACGACACAATTTATCATTTAGCCGTGTCCCCTCGACCGTGAACTCCCGCGTGCGTAAGGAAAACACGTGCGTGTGCAGGCGGATGTACGATTTAATTTCGCGCTTATTCATTTCCCGGTCGGCCGAGAATGTATCGTGCATTTTACAGTAATAATAGTAACGCGGGATAAATCACGGAAGAACGGGAGTGTTCGTTTTTATCTTGTCAACAGCTCGCGTTAAATCACTTTTGGAAAGACGTACACAGTTAAAGATTTTGTGTTGAATATGGCTGAAATATTTCATTTTACTATAACACGGGGGAAATGTGTTGAAAAATACACGAATATAACGTTAAATTAACATATTCCCCGCACATGTTAAAGTAAATTTTAGTGGACGTTTTTAACGCAACATTTTTTACTATCTATTTAAATTAATTCATCTTGGTTGATTCTGTAAGACCACCAAGATTTGGAAGAATTCAAAGATCTTACGTTTCGTAGAGTCCAAAATAGACCAAAAATATTTTCGGAAAGCTGCATTTCTGACGACGTAACGAGGAATCGCGAAAGCAAGATACGATTCTTTCAAGCGTATCTTTTCCAATTCCAATTCCATATAGAACGAAAAGGATCGCATATTCCGATGGTCACTCGGATATTCATTGATCAGGTTGTGCTCTGCTCTTTTTTCTCTTTTCTTTTTTTATAAAGACGTTGTCCGAGTTGCGCGACGTTCGATCTCTTCATGATGGATTTAGGGTAGATTTCCGCACGTATGAAAAAACGTGACACACGAGGGTTGTCCGTTGATTTATGACCTCATCGCGCCAATAATGCATCTCGACCCTGTCTCTCCGCGCCTTTTCTCAATAAAGATAATATTTCTCGCGAGGAAATCTCGCCGATGTATATGTATGCAAATGTGTACCGATTTATCTTTCATTGTACCGCACTTAACTTTGGCTTGACATGTAAAGTATCAGTTTACATATTACGTTTTACTTCACTTAGCATGATTCATAGCACGTTTCCATATCGCACGTTTAAGTCGATCGTTGTGCATAATGTTGGAATTTCACAAAATTCTCGCGAACGCATCAATTGGAGACAGAGACATGAGCGATGTCACTCGTTGAAAACGAAAGACATAAAATTCCGCCTTCCAATCACAGTATGCGGTTGATTGTTTTCCTCCCGAAGTATCGATATAAAACCCTCTTTCGGTCTTGTCGGATATGTCGAGGCATAAACCGGTTTTCGATCGATTCCTACGTGAGACTGAGCGTCACGTGGAGAAACAAAGTGTTACCCTTCTGTTCCCAGGCGATATACGACATGCTCGGCGCGTGTTCAAGCAACAGGCCGGCGGACAGCGCGGAGGAGAGGGCGAAGAATATATTCGCGAAGATGGACGAGAACAACGACGGGCAGCTGACGCAGGACGAGTTCCTGAAGGGTTGCCTTCAGGACGAGGAGCTGTCGAAGATGCTCGCTCCTTAATCCCGACGCCGCGTATCCGCACGAGCCGTCGACGCGCGAACATGAGAAACAAAAAGGAAACAATAAGACACCACACCGCTCTCTCACGACTTTCTCAGAAGAATTCCGGAAACGGAACAGTCAATGCCAGCAACGACGAGCCACCACCGAAATTGACGCTCGCATATACACGCGCACACACAGACCACACGTCATTGCCCACATATACACACGTACACGATAATTTTCTATTAACTACGACGTACGTTATCGTTGTGGCGGCTCGACAACGAGCCCGTCGCTCGTGCCGGACGATGAAGCACGAGCGACCAGAAATGGAGGAGGAGGAAAAGGAGGAAGCCGATATCAAGGTTGATCGAGAATGATCGAGAATGATGGAGGATAAGCGATAAACGTAGAGAGATTGAGAGAGGGAGAGAGAGAAATATATATATATATATAGAGAGAGAGAGAGAGGAGTTTTCCGACATCGGAATCGCGCGTCCGCAGGACGACACAACGACAACGCCGATGATTGGTCTCTCGGAGCAGCAGGAAGTCTCGCGAAAAACGCAGGACGACGCCAGGAGACGACAACGACGGGGGATCCGAATTAGGCCACTTCACCTTCACGGAAGACCCCCGTGGTCGTATTCACGAGTTCGTCACCTTGATACAACCGCAGCGGGACGTCCGCACACGTCGTCCACGTCCAAGAGGAGTTTCCTCCGGACTAGTGTCGGTGGAATTAACGGGGGCGGGAATCTTCACAGGGGCGAAGCGACAACGTCGTCGAGAAGAGAGACGGGGAGAGAGCGGCGGCGGCTTTCGAAGCCTGTGCTCACACCGACAATTTGGCTCGGCTAATCCTGGACAAACGACCCGCCCGGGGTTCGCTCCTTTTCGGATTACAGTTTCGCCTAATAACGTGGCCACGGGTCACAAGGAAAATTTCGTTAATCCTCTGATGCGCTTTAGAGAACCTAAAGACTTTGCACATCGTATATTGTTCTCGTGGCGNCGGGTACGGTTTCGGAGGGGTAGAAGGGGGGGGGGGGCCTAACGATGTCATTCCGGTTCCACCCGGGATTTATCAGTAGTGCCCAGCAGTTTGTGAAGTCTCGCCGGCGAGTCTTACTGGTTACTCCCTGTTGTTCCCGTAAGCAACCCTCACTTCGTTCGTAGTAACGCCGATACGTCGACTCCGACGCGCTCGTGAATCGCAGATCACACGCGCTCTCGACATGTGCACGGAGAAAAATAATTCGCCGGCACGGCAAGTTTTACGCTGCCGCAGCGCGAAATCAGTCGCCACATAGGCAGCAGAAATTGCGAATTCGTTAAGAATACACCGATCGCCATTCGCTGAATCGTTTCGTCGGTAATGATCAAACGCGGAGGAGAACGCTGTTCTGTTTCTGAGCAGCAAATTAACCCGTGTGCCCAAGGACAAATTCGGTGCGGGATATTTTCTGTCCCGGCGACACAAAGCTTGCTTCCGCTCCAATTACGAATGTAATTCGCTGAATTTGGCTACGCCAGCTAGATTTTACTATCGATAATGAAAATAAGCAATAGCGAACGATGTGATATATCGCCTGCAAAGCGGCGAAATGATTTTTCCCCGTGCCATGCCCGTTGCCGCGAACGCTTGCCAATTATTTAGCAGCACTCGATCCGCATCGTCGTCCGTTCCCGTCGTCCGGGACGCATTTCTTCGCGCACACACGGCACAGAGGTGCATCTCTTTCCACCGTGTCTCGCATAATTTTAACCCCTTCACGCGACTCGGACTCGATCCGAAGAGCCCGCTCGAAATCTCCTCGAGAGTTCGAGTGGTTTTTACGTTTTTAAGGGGAAATGGGGAGGGTGGAATTCCTATATAAATGTATATCCGAACAGCTCAAAGCCGACTGTGATTTTCTCGAGTCTCGCGTAAGTTGTTTGTTTTTGCGGCGGCCGGCCGTCTCCACATTTCCACACGTTGCTTCATTCCGTCGTTCCGCGGGGAATCGCACCGAGAGATTCACTCATGCGACTCCCACATTCGATCGCACGGAACTTCTAAGTAAGATACAAATCGACCGGCGCATCAGACGACTAACAACAACAATCAGGCCGAGGACCGAGCGAGGTCAAGGTGAGCGCGGCTCTCAAGGTCGCCGCCGGGCGATATCATCGCGCGTTGTCGCGGTGGGAAGCCGAGAGAAACGGGACTCGATGAGAGGACGGGAGAGTCGACTGCGGGATCGCAGACGGGAAGTGCGGGGGAATTCGGAGGTGTGCGCGAGCCTCCTTAGAATTTAATCGGCGGGACCCACGGAGGGTCCTTTTTCAGCTCTGCATGTGTATCGCTTTCGAGCCGTTGTGCGTAGGTTGTCGGCGGAAGATCGAAGGCGCGAGGAGCGACACCAGCCGTCTCGACGAGGACGATGTCACGCGCGAGATGGTAACACAACGAATTGCGACAAGGTAATGTCGATTCTAGAGATAGGGGGAATATCGCTTAAGAAAGATATACGTTAATATTTTATATCGGCCGAGCTGTTCCACGCCGGGGACTTGCGGTATCGTCGACCAGCACGCCGCGCGTCCCCTCCGCCAGTACGACATCGCGTACATTATGCATGCGTCATTGGACGTGAAATAGTCATCAAAGTGGTCACCGGTCGTCGTCCGTTCGACGGAAATCCATCGCACTTCCGCTCGGCCGTGCGGCCGGAATGATGAAAGTTGCAAGAGCGGTAAAAGCGAGTCAATCCCTCCGAGCGAGCTTGCGCAAAACGTTCGTGCAAATTTCAGAAATCCTCCCGCGGATTCGTACCGACGTTTCGCCTCGGCTGAACTTTCAGCCGAGGCGACGGAAAATGCCACATGCAGGTCGATTTTTCTCACCGGAGAGATCCCGCGAGAAATCGGCTCCGATCGATCGGCCGAGTGACCGGCGGCGCGTAATTGGACTAATTGGCGCCGTGAGAATAACGACGGGTCGCAACTGCCGCGTCGGCCAGACGTCAACCCGGCGGTCGGTGAAATTTCGCCCGGGCTTTTAATTGACTTTTTGACCGCGTTTTGTAGAGCCAGATTAACGTTAGAGCGAGACAAGAGGTTCGTTATGCCGCGGTTGAAGTTAACCGGGGCCGGGGGAGAATCGACCCTCTTAATTACGACTGGCGCGCAAGCTCGGGCGTTAAAATTCCGCCGATCGGTTTGTTGCGCGTCGCGGCTTATGCGATCGCCGTCGGGAAATCGGACTCGGGAAATCGGACGCGCAGTATCGCGACACGAAAATCCCTGTAATAACAGTCCGGACACCGCTGTCGGTGTGGTCGTTATCTTTGGGCTAAAGCGCGAATGTTCATATATTATCGAAATAGTTCTCGCAAATCAACAAATAAATGAACAATTAATCACAGTACGAAACGCGCAAACTCGCTTCCCTTTCAACACGCTTCGTAGACTTCGTAGGTGGCGAATCTTGTGTTGTCACTCGGCTGACAACTTCGGTTATTTCCCAAGCTCCCTCGCCTGGGGAACAACCACATTCGTTGTCATCGTATCCTCATTTCGCGTTTGGTAAAGAAAAGGACAACAGACGACGTAAGCAGACTTGCGTCGAATTTCGCATCTTGCTGGAAAGCGACCTTTAACATCGTCCCAACCGGAAGCTTGCCCAAACATAGCGGAAGCGATCGTGAATCAGACATACGGTGTGTAGACTCTTAATACCGAGATTTTTCGTAACACCAACGGTGACGAAAGAGATGGGAAGTTGTTTCTCGGCGAAATCCGCCGGTCGATACGAAGGAAATCGACCCGGTGACCGTGGGAAACGGCCGGCTTAGCCCATTCAACGTGCTGGTCGACGTGCGCACAGACGTCCCGACGCCTTCCGCCGAAGGCTCTGACTTCCTTCTTTCTCTTCTCTTCTCTTCTCGGCGCCGTTATTCGCCGGAGTAACCGTGTGTCGCGTATGCGAGCGGCACAATGTGCATATCGGGGTCAATGCTTCGCGCGCATGTATTTTAAGATTTATGAACAAGCGTCACGCACGCGTGATCCGACATACGCAAACGTCGGCGCGTGACGTTCTCTTCAGGCGGATACGCCGGGAGGTTTACGGCTGCTCGGAGGCAGACGAATTTCACCGTCGGGAATCCTATGCCTTGCGCCGATCCAGCGAGAGACGAGGTAAGCTTGCCACCGAGTGTTGCTTTCGAATTTAACGCGACTCAATGTGTTGCGTGATGCCGTTCGCGCGCGAGACGCGATGTCGAATGCGAATGTTATGATATGTAGAGTGAGAGACGATAATCGTTATCATCTGATATCTTCGATTAAGAAGCAAGGTTCGGATCTATGAAATTCCCATTCGATTCACTACCGAGGCTCGAGCCACGATCTCCCGAAGTTTGACTCTCCAGGCGTCACGATCGGTCGCGAGTCGCCTTCAGTTTTCGCATTTAGATATTCCCTGATATGATTTCAACGTCGTTCGACGGTGTCGTGTCGTACGCAACTTTCCAGGATATTATAGAACGTCTCTTTTATGTGCTCATCCTTATCTTCAGTTTCTGCGTGCACATTAATTACGCTCAAGTTGAAGAATTTTGTTCCGGGTCTTGAGAGAGTATATGTTCCTTCTTCGACCTCCCGCGGAACTCCGTTATACTTCCGGTGCAGCTGGTTTATTTATGCGCCGCAAAACCGACCCCGAGGAAATGTTTCTGGCTCCCACACTACAGAAAGATTTGTAGCCGTCCACTTTTACCATATTGTTCCTCGCCCATCTCGCTTCCTGCAGTGCCAGAATTTGGATGCCGCACCTTTGTAATTCGTTCATTAGGTTCTCCGCTACCGCTGTATCTCATGCAAACTTCTCACGTACCATGTATCCACATTCAGTTCCATGTTACGTCTGCCAAATCGTTGTGACCGTTCTATCAGAGGCCTCTCTTCTGGTTCCTTAACTAAATTTTGCCGGGATAATTTGTCAGCGTAGCGCCCACAATAATTCCGACGTTATAGATTTTCGTAGTAAATTTTATCACGATATTTCCTCCGTGTACAATGTAATCTTCCTGTTGGATGAAATTTTCCTTTACTCCCGTGTCCGGAAGATATCAACGGTGATGATAATATTCCTCACTCTCTGTAAGATACATAATGAATTATTCGCGAGGGACACCGTCGTCTGCAGAAAATCAGCGAAATACGTTTCCAAGGTGCAAACACTTCGCCATGTTGGTGTCTCGCGAGACGTTTCTCGTTCCTTCGCGTCCGAAAACGTGTGCAATCGCAAGCTCGCGCTCGGCGGCTCGTATTCGTTGTTTCGCCGCAACGCACAGAATGAACGACCGCGCGTATCGAGGCACGATCGATCCCGAGCAGCGATAGGGAACCGGGCGTTAAGTCCGCGGTGCATCCGGAATATTTCGCCGCCGGTTGAACCGAAGCTGGTCGTGTATCGTCCTCGTGAATGTCCCACTGCGTACGCCGAGATGCACATTGCAGGTTGCGCCGCAATTGCTTCGTTACCCGTTTCCGCCGGACCCGGAGGCGTTTTCGTGCGATTTGCCGCGCGCCACCATCGTCGGCATCGCCGTCTTTCTCGTTGCCGTTGTCCCCGTTACAACTGGAATCCCTCCGTGAACGGATACTTTCTCCCGGGTATCAAACGCGAATTTTACGCCAATCTCGTTGGTGACAAATATTTTCAAGCAGTCCGGGCGCTTTTGTTCCTCGCGTGAAGTGAGAAATAACCACGGCTCGAAATTCTGCCATTCCGCGACGTGAACTCTCGCCGACACACGGGTCGTGTCCAATTTGCCGTCTCTCGCGCCTCTCCGGCGGGCGGAAACACGTGAGACAACCCTCCTCCGTCGTTTAAGTGTAAAACGCGAACAGAATTCCCGCGGGCATACATATTCTCCGTGTGTGTGTGTGTGTGCGCGCGCGCGCGCGAGAGATGGTCGAATTAATCTCGTCGCGTGGTTCCGCGCGACAGGGAATTTACGGCTGGGCGCGGGT